TTTTTAAAAAAAATTACAAGACTTTAAAGATTTTTAAATATTTAGAAGAAATTTAGAAGATTTACAAAGAATTTCTAGTGAAATTATAAAAATTTACTTTTAGCGAATAATTTTTATTCAAAATCAGTAAATAATTTACTTGAACCAAATAATTTGTATTCAACTGAAATAAATACTTACTTGAACCAAATAAAATAAATATTTATTTGAAGCAAACAATTTTTCCTTAAATAAATATTTACTTGAATCAAATAATTTTTTCTTAAATCGAATAAATATTCACTTCAACAAAATAATTTTTATTTAAGGGCATTTGAACCTTGATGACGTCACACATGCTTTGCACAAACTGTAACGTCATCAAGGTTCAAATGCCCTTAAATAAAAAAAAATATTTTCATAGAACAAATAATGTTTACTTAAATAAAATAAATATTTACTGGAATAAAATAATTATTATATAAATAAACATTATTTGGTTAGAATCAATATTATAGGTTTATTTAAATAATAATTATTTCATTATGAGGTAATAAAGTAAAATAATAAATTCACTACAGGTAAATAATTTATATTTACATACATTAAATTTTCATTTCCAATAATATAAATAAATCAATAAAACTTACTTAAACCATAACATTTTTATTTAATCAAATAAATATTTAATTAGAGCAAATAATTTTTATATTTAAATCACAGAAATATTTTCATAGAGCGAATAATTTTTCCTTAAATAAATGAACATTTACTTGAATCAAAGAAAAATATTCTTTTGAATAAAGCAATTATCTTTAAATCAAATAAATATTTACCTAAACAAAATAATTTTTATATTTAAATCAAAGAAATATTTTCTTGAATATTTACTTGAACCAAATAATTTTTATATTTAAATCAAAGAAATATTTTCTTGAATATTTACTTGAACCAAATAATTTTTATATGTAAATCAAAGAAATATTTTCTTAAATCAAATAATTGTTTTTAAATTCTTTTTTAAACCAAATAAATATTTATTTGAACCAAATAATTTTTTTATTTAAATCAAACAATTTTTTTTCTTCAAATAAAATAATTGTTTTCAAATAATTTATATTTAAATTGAATAAATATTTACTTGAAACAAATAAATATTCACTTGAAACAAATAAATATTCGCTTAAATCAAATAATTTCTCTTGAAATTAAATAAATATTTACTTGAAGACAATAGTTTAGTTCCAAGCAAAAATTTAGCACAAATAAAAATCTTTTTTGTTAAAGTAAAATTTTTATTTAAAAATTTTGTAACTTTTCTAAGTTTAAAATTTTTAATTTTTTAATATTACAATATTATAATTGCAATACGATTCAATTGATTCGATTAAAAATTATTTGTCTCTGCGATTATAAATATTATAAATATTTACTGATAGGAAATATAATGATATATAAATATTTACTGATGTATAAAATGTAAATATTTATTAATTCAAATATCAATTAAAAATTTATTTGATAAATAATAATTAAAAGTAAATAATAAAAATAAAATAGAAAAATAGTAAAATGATAAAATAAATAGTAATAATAGTAATAAAAGTAGTAATAGTAATAATTGTACTAATTGTAATAGTATCAGTATAATAACAATAATACAATAATTTTAATTAATCATTAATAATAAGCGATCAGCACCAAAAAAAAATTTTCCATTTCACCATTTCCACACGTACGAGAAATTGGAAAACTTTTAGAGAAATTAAACCGAAAAAACATAAAACTGAAAAAATCAAATTTTAAAGTGTATGGTAAAAAAAAAGTAACGTGTAAAATAAAAGTTGAGAGATAAAATTTAAATTTTCGATTTTTCCATAAAGTATATCTATGCGTAGAATTTTTTTTTCCCTCCCTCTCTTTTTTATAGTATACATACTGATTACACACTTTATGCCAACTAATGAAAAAAATGTTTTATGAGAATCTTTCATTTTGGTAATTTGGAGAAAAAAATAAGTGTTCGCACATTACATTCGATTATGTCTGTTCTATAATTTTTAGTCTCAAAGTATATTTTCCAGAGTCAGGACTAGAGAGAGAGAGAGAGAGAGAGAGAGAAAAAGCACACCTCATTAGCATAAAAGCTTCAGCAATTTTCTGCTGCGTTCGCCACAAACCTTCTTTACTTAGGTCTGTATAAACTTAACTCTTCGAGTGGTATATGCTTTTTCTCATATTGACATTTTATTTTTAAACAACTATTATATTGTATTTCTTCACTCATTAATTAAATTAATCGTGAAAAAAATTTTCTTTTTTTTTGCAGATTAATATTTTTTTTCTCGCCGACAATTATTTTCTATGTGTGACTTTAAGGAAGGTCAGGAAAAATTATCTCTTTTCCAGAAAGATTTCTTTTTCTTAAAGATTTTTTTTTTTTAGAAAATTTATATATTTGTTTCGGAGTCTACTAATTTATTTATGTGTTTGAAATAAATTTTTATTTGTTTGAAGTATTGTAGTAAATTTGATCAAATTGAAATCAATTTTATTTAATCGAAATAAATTTTTTTTGGGTCAAATAAAAGTTTATTTGTGGCAAATAAGAATTTATTCGTTTGAAATAAATTGTATTTGGTTCGAATAAAAATTTATTCATTACAAATAAATTTTTTATTTCTTGAAAATAAATTTTGAAATAATTTGGTTCAAATAAAAATTTATTTGTTACAGTTAAGAATTTATTTGTTACAATTAAGAATTTAATTGTTACAATTAAGAATTTATTTTTTCCCATTGTGAATTTATTTTTTCCAAGTAAAAATTTATTTGTCACAAGTCAATTTTTGTATTTCTTAGAAATAAATTTGAAATAATTTGTTTCAAAGAATTTTATTTGTTCCAAATGAATTTAAAATAAATTTAAAAAAATAAAAGTTTCAAATAAATTCTATTTCATTGAAATAAAAATTTTATTTTAGTCAAAAAACAATTTTTCTCGGATCAAATAATATTTTTTCGTTGTAACGGAATAAATAGGTTAATATAGATTCTGAGAAAAATATACTTTTACTTAACTCAATTTTTGTTTGGTTAAAATGAAATATTTCTCTGTGTGTAAAACTTTAATTTGTTTGAGTCTATTTCTTCAATTCTCTTATTTGCTCAAAAGAACACGGAGAGACCCACATTCGTAAAAATTACTAAAAATGGTTGCAATGACCGGAAATAAGGGGACTTTTAGCATAATGTGCTACAGAATTAGATAAATTTACAAAAGAAATAGATAAATTTGCTACATTGAAATAGCAAGTTTTAATATTTTGTGTAAGAGTTGTAAATGTAGCGAAAATTGATTATAGTTTTCTCAAATTTAATTAGACAAAATCTGACAAATGTAAACATTTTCCACTAAAACCTACTATCCACTGTAGTAATTTTTGGTGAGCAAGTGTGGCTAGCGAGTGCAGTCATATGGCGCCTGCATTTCTATTGGTTGCTAACTTCGTCAATCTCCGTAAATGAGCCGATGCCATCCGATCATTGATAGTGACTATGTTTCGCGTATGTAAAATAAATTTGGATATTATCTACAATAATTAAATATAAAGTGAAACGTAGGTCGTTCGGTATCTCAGAAATTGACCATTATAAATTAATAAACTTTGCATTTATTCCTGTCCCAAGAACTATGTCTTATAATAAGTTGTTAAAAGTAAATTGCTTTCTCGTAAGTGCTGTAAATTTTCATCATTCAATATATAAGGAAACAAAGATGTATACTTTCAGTGAAATTCGTTGTCGTGCGTGCAGTTGTGTATTTGTGTATTAATTAACCGCGTCTATACATATAAGTGAAATAAACATGTGTGTGTCTTCAAATATTTATACAACAAATATATAAGTGTGTGTGTGTCTGTGTATGTAAAAATCCTTCCAGTTTGTCTCCATTAGTCAAGAATTGACGGGAAACCGGCGACAAAAATCCGTATTTTTTCTTTCACTCTTTCTTTCTGCATTTACAAACGACTGTAGTAATTTTACGTACACAATGCTTCTGAGTTTACTACAGTTATTTGGAACTATTGGACGAAATAGTAAGAAACTTTGCTAATTTGGTGAACATTTGTCGGGATTAGTGACTTAGTGTAGAAAATAGTAAAAAATACAAAAAGTCCCCTTATTTCCGGTGGTTGCAATGTGAAAATAGTAAATTCTAGTGTGATTTTATACAAAAATTAGTAATCTCGGTCTCTCCGTGAAAATTTCACTTTGAAAACTAAATTTTCTTTAACAATCGAAACAAGCAGTAAATAAAAAAATTTAACTAAAAACGTTAATTTTTAATTTTTAATCGAAGACTTTAATTAACATTTTTTAATTAACAAACAAAAGATTTTAACTTATACAATTTGTGTTCTTAAAATTCCGAACATTTATTTTTAATCAATCAATTTTTGAAAATATCGAAGTAGAAAAAAATATTCGTTCATTTGATCGTTGGGAACTTTAGAAAAAATCCGTTTTGGCAATATTCAAATTAAAAACTAATTTGTTTGGTAAAAATATTGAAATGAAATATTTTAACTATTCAAACTTCATTACTTAAATGTTATTAAAATTCTATTACTAAATTCTATGCCAAAAATGCTATTATTAGAATTCTATTATAAAATTTGATAAAAATTAAATTTCTTAAATTATTAAAATTCAATCCCTTTACTCAAACTGAATTCTATTATTTAAAATCAAACTCCATTCCACTTAAATTAAAATAAAATTAGTCAAACTAAGGAAATCCAATGAAATCTAATTTTGAAATCTATTTGTAAATATTTAAACTTTTAAATCAATATATGCCTAGTAAAAATAAAAAGTCAAAAAATCACCTTTGAAGTATAAATGAAACTTGAAAAATTTTAAATCACGCACAAATGAGAATGAAACATAAAAGAGAATAATTAAATACATGTGGTCGTCAAATAAATAAGGAATGAGGAAATGAAAAAAAAAATTACCATTGCAAGCCTCTTTAAAATCATTACAACAATCGTTGAGTTTCAAACAAGCGTGATCGCAATAACACGGAGTGTCACGAGGACTCTCAATTATTGCATTGGGTGATGCTTTTTGAATTACACATCCGGAATCTCGACCCTGGCAACATAATTTCGCAGCTCTGCAACTTCCGGCTGCGGTAAAATCAACCGTCCATGCAATCATTATCATCAAAATCCTCATAAATCGTTTCACCATGATCGTTCACTCGTTAACTTTGTAATGCAATTTGGAAATCTTCCCCTAATGTTATTATTATATATATATATACGACTGGCCAAGTGTCAAAACGCAAAATTACGGCGAACCTCCATTAGTGACCTTGAAAAGATTTCAATAACCTTGAATTATCTCCATTTAATGGAAAATTAATTAAAATGGGAAAAATAAATTAATTTCCATTTTTTAATTTTCAATTTTTTAATTATTACAATTTCCAATTTTTTAATTTTCTAATTCTCTAATTTTTATTTTTAATTTTCACAATTTTCCCAATTTTCACAACTTTCAATTTTTTTATTCTCAAATTTTCATTTTTCACAACTTTCAATTTTTTTATTCTCAAATTTTCAATTTTCACAACTTTCAATTTTTTTATTCTCAAATTTTCATTTTTCACAACTTTCAATTGTTTAACTTTCACAATTTTCAATTTTATAATTACTTAATTTTCACAATTTTCAATTTTCACAACTTTCAATTTTTAAATTATCAAATTTTCAATTTCTTAATTTTCACAATATTTATATTCAATTATCAATTTTTTAATTTTCACAATTCTCAATTTTCACAACTTTAAATTTTTTAATTAACGAATTTTCAATATCAATTTTAATTTTCAATTCTCACAATTTTCAATTTTTTAATTTTTAAAATTCAATATCAAAAATAAATGAACGATTTTAAATTAAGTTGCATTGACATTTTTTGAAAATAAAAAAGTAATTGAATTTTGATTATTACACTCAGGGAGAATTTTATTTGAAACAACTAAATTTTGATTGAATAAACAAAATAAATTAATTGACAACAAAAAATTTGTTTGATTCAACTGAAAATTTGCTTCAGGTGAATTTTTAAATTCCTTCCTCGAATACAAACATTCTTAAACTAAACCAAATGTTTATTTAAATTAAATTAGAATCAAACTAAAATTAAATTTTAAATTAAATTTATTTGCGGGATTTAATGAACTTTATTTAGAATAAACTTTAGAATGAAAATAACTAAAATAATGAAATGAAATAAATAATAAAATAAAAGAATTAAATAGAATAGAAAAATAAATAAATAATTATAAAGTAATAAAATAATATCTAATAAAATATAATAATAATAAAAAATAATAAAATTAAATTTATTTAGGCAAACTTTATTTATAGAATAAACAAAAAGTAGTGCTATCTAAAACTTTGGTTTATACAACAAAGAAGAGTATTTCTTTCAAATATCATTTTTCCCAGAGTGTAAAAATGATTCTCTCTTTAGATATAATAAAAAATAATTACAATTCTAAATTTTTCATTTGACTCAAAAAAAAAAAAAAATCACTTGGAAAATTGTAAGTAAAGCAATGGAATCTATCATTGAAAAAAATTAATTTGATTCAAAAAACCGATTACTTCTTTATTTTCAAATAAATTTTATTTTAGAAAAATAATTTTTTAATTATTCTAATTTTATTTAAGCCAAATGAATTGTAAATGAACCAATAAATTTATTATTTGAAGCAAATACCATTTAATTGACTTCAATAAAAAATATTTGATCCAAGTAAATATTTCTTTGGTTCAAATAAAAAATATTAGATTCAAGCAAATATTTCTTTGGTTCAAATAAAAATTATTAGATTCAAGCAAATATTTCTTTGGTTTAACTAAAATTTAATTTAATTTAAGTAAATATTTCTTTGGCTCAGATAAAAATTAGTAGATTCAAGCAAATATTTCTTTGATTCAAATCAAAATTATTAGATTCGTGCAAATATTCCTTTGATTCAAATAAAAATTATTAGACTCAAGCAAATAATTCTCTAGTCCAAAAAAGGAATTATTTAATTAAAGCAAATATTTCTTTGGTTCAAATAAAAATTACTTGATTCAAGTAAATATTTCTTTGATTCAAATAAAAATTACTTGATTCAAGGAAATATTTCTTTGCTTCAACTAAAAATTATTTGATTGGAGTAAATACTTCTTTGTTTAAAATAAAAATTATTTGATTCAAGTAAATATTTATTTAGTTCAATTAAAAATTACCTGATTCAAGTAAATATATTTATTTGCCAATAGACAACTAATCGGTCATTTAAATCAAATTTTATTTCTCAGTGACATAACTTAAGAAACCGAAAAGAAACTAAAAAAAAAACAATTTCAAAAAAGGAAAATTTGCCCCACTGATGAAAATCTTTCTAATCGAAGATTTCGCTTTTGGTAATTTCCTTATATATCCAAGTCACTTTTCTTAAAAGGAGCAAAAAATTTCGAAATTAAAAAAAAATCCACAAATCGAGAAATTCGTATTGAAACCTTTTTGTTTTGTGTTCTAATCACCTATCGGGAGAAACATGATTTTTTTCGGCGCTAATGGGAAATTTACGAACACCGAATATGACAGTTTTGAGGAAAACGAACCGGAACGAAACATCTCAGCACAACGTGCTGTTGCGACTAAACTGCCGCAACGGTTTCGCGCCCCTGTGTGAAGGGGATATATAACATTGCCCCAGCGAAGCGCATGCCCCGAATTCACAAAAGTAAGCGCCGGTAAAATGTCAATTTTCTTTATATACATGCAAATCAATTTTTTTTTTTTTTTTTTTTTTTTAAATTTCTTTTTCTTTCAATCATTTCATTTGTTCGGTTAAAATTCATTAAACTGCAAATTGACGTTTTTGAAAAGCGTTAGAAAAAAGTTGAAAACCCTTTTTTTAAAAAAGTAAAATTTTGCAAAACTTGACCGCGAATTTAAAAAAAATCACAACTTGACTTAATTTTCATTTTACTGTCAATTAGACAAATAAAAATAAATTTATAATTAATAATTGTGATACAAAAAAATGAAAATTTAAAAAAATTAATGAAAAATTAATTATGAAATTAGTATAAAATACATTTCAAACTATTATTTTTATTCTTCAATTAATTATTATTAATTAATTGAATAATTAATAATTGAAAAAAATTGACATTACAGTCGAACCTGGATAAGTGGTCCCTTGATAAGTGGGAATCCTCTTTAAGTGGAACATTCTTTGCAGTCCCTGCACAAGTAATTTGACCTTAAATAACCTAGATAAGTGGAATACCTCTATAAGTGGAACAAGAACTTTAGTCCCTTGAGGTTCCACTTATCCAGGTTCGACTGTATTTAAAAAAACATTTTAAAACATTTTTTTTTTCTTTAAAAATTTTTTAAATCAAGTTTTGAAGAATTATACTTGCAAATTATAATAATATAACATTATAATTATATTAATCCTAATAATAAATTTACTATCTTCAAAAAAGTCATATTAAAGTATTTTTTAAAAAAGTAAGTCTTGGTTTTTTTTAAATGATAATTTTTGAAAATTAAATTATCTACGAAGAATGTAATAATTGAAAAAAATCCACTTTTATACTTTTATCATTAGAATTTCGGAAAATCATGAATTTTTAATATTTTTATTTATAATTCTTCTGAAAACTTGATTATTTTTTAAATATTTTTCGAAAAATTGTTTTAAAAAAAATTCAATTGTTTCCAAAGAAAATTTTACTTAATTTTCACTAATTCACTATAAGTTTCACTAATTTTTCACATATTTTCAAATATGTGAAATAATCTATTATTAAACTTTTCTTTTAAAAGAAAACAAGAAAAGCTAGAGTTGCAATTTTTATGAAATATTGAATTTTTGTTTTAAATTATAGAAAAATTTTCTAAAAATAATTAAAAATAATTGATAATAATTGATTTAGAAAAAAATTTTAACAAAAATTTTACAAAACTAATTTGAAAGATTTATAGTAAAAAAATTCTTAAAGTTATTTTAATTTTAAAATGTTTTTCAATCGTATTTTTGATATTTTTTATTGTTATAAAAGTATGAAAATATTTTAATATTAATTTTTAAAATTATTAATTTATTATTTTTCTAAAAGTAGTAATTTTTAGAAATAAGTAAATTTCAAAAGAGATTTTAACATTATTGCATTTTTGAACAATTGAATAATATTTATTAATAATAGTATTCTTTAGTAATAATAATTATTAAAAATAAAATTTATTTGATAATATTAAATTAATTAATAATTAATTCAGGAATAAATTATGTAATAATAAATTTCATCAATTTATATTTCCAGTAACACAAATTTTCATATAGTTTTCTTTTCTTTTAATTTCAAATTCAGAATTTAAAATATAAAAATTGAGTTTCTGTATAGGTACAAATTATTATTTATGCAAAAATTGAATTTTTATATAATTTTTAATCAATTTTCAATTTTTTACTGCGATAAATAAATTTTTTAAAATTGTATTTTTAATTAAATTGCCAACTAGAAGGTAAAAAGCATCACAACTATTATAAACAAAGTTTTGTAATGACAATAAAAAATAAAAAAAACTTAATAAAAGGAATTAAAAAAATTTTAATATAAAAAAAATAAAAAAAATTCTAAGAAAAGGAAAACAAAATATTAATACAAGAAATAGAAAAATTCTACTAAAAAAAATTTTTCAACTACGCTAAAAAATAATAAAATTTGAAGATCAATAAAAAAACAGCAACTATACAATAAAAAAAACTGTGTAAATTCTATTCGAGAGAAAATTACCAATTTGCAAAATAAAAAAAAAAAATGGAAAGAAGAGAAAAAAGCAAAAAGAACATATAAAGAACAGAAATCGCGAGAAGAACACAACGAAAATGAATATTGAAACGTGTTATAAAAGGTGCAACCGAGGTATAAACCTTTTGCAGAAGGGTATAATTAAAAGTAAAAATAACAGTTTGCAAAACTGAGAGGAAATAGTGGAAAGAAATAGACGAGTGGGATGGGCGTTTTTCAGTCTTGTTGAAATGTTCGCTCGCGCATGATAATAGCCCCCCAATGGATGTTTCACGAGCTTTTGCAAAAGCTCAGTGTGTATATGTGTGTGTGTATGTTACGAGACGCGGTTGTCGTAGAACGATAATTAATTGTTTGCCCCCACCGCTTTATTCGTGGATTTAACGACACAGAGCGGCCCACAAATTGTGAGAAAAAAAAACTAATCGATTTCAAGAAAAAAAAAAAAAAAATCTTTCTCAACGAAAAGACGCGGGAAAATTTTACCCAAGTTTTACTTTTCGAAAATCTACTGTTGAAACTCGAAGGAACAATTACATAATTTCTCTTTTCATTCTAATTCGAGTTTCTCGAACTTATTGCGCAGTAAATAATGAAACAAAAACTTTTTAATATTACTGGAAAGTAAAAAATAAAGGAAAATAACTGTTTCATTAACGTAATTTTTCTTCATTAGTGAATTTTTTAATGAATATTTTCCATATTAAACAATTTTCAAAATTAAATTTTTCCATATATTAAACAATTTTTTAAAATAAAACTTTCCCCGCATCAAACAATATTGGAAATAAAATTTTTTTATTAAAATTTTTTTATATTAAACAATTTTTTAAATTAAATTTTCGTAATTAATTTTTTCCCTATTATAAACAATTTTTTATATTAAACAATTTTTTAAATTAAATTTTCGTAATTAATTTTTTCCCTATTATAAACAATTTTTATCAAATGAAACGTTTCCAACAATAAACAATTTCCGAGTATAAAAAAAAATAAAACTCAAGAGAATATATATGTATAGAAAAAAAGATGAAACTTTTTCGATAGCATGTAATCATGATTGAACCATAATAACAACAAAATGTGAAAGAACACAATTATACTCGTTTATAATTGACTGAGAAATGAAGAGAATTGAATTCAACAGGGAAATGCAATTCTTCCTTCTCTATATTATATTCATATAACATGTATGCATATCTATTTCTGGAACTGATTATAAAATTACCTCTGTCAGCTTGATCCAATTCATAAATATTAATTCAAGATATTATGATAATATTTATTGAGAAAAATGTATAATATTAAAGCTAATATGTTATTATATTTAACAATATTTATTAATAATAGTATTTATTGCTAATAATGTTTATTGTTAATATTTTTTTACTAAGCTTTGTTTATTAAAAATCATATTTATTAATAAAAGTATTTATTATTAATAATATTTATTGGTAATATTTTTTTACTAAGCTTTGTTTATTAAAAATCATATTTATTAATAAAAGTATTTATTACTAATAATATTTATTGGTAATATTTTTTTACTAAGCTTTGTTTATTAAAAATCATATTTATTAGTAAAAGTATTTATTAATTATTACTAATAATATTTATACGCAATAGTATTTTTTACTAACAATGTTTATTAACAATAATAAATTTTTTTTTAAATAATTGAATTCTTTCGAGAAAATTTAATTAAAATTGTATTGGAAATAATTGAATGCTCGCAAAAAATATTATTATTTATAAAAAGAATCAAATTCTTCCAAATAATGTTATTAAAATTATTGAAAATAATATTCTCAACAAGAATGTTAATAAAATTTTTTTTAAATAATTGAATCTTTTCGTGAAATTTTATTATTTTATTAATTTTATTATTAAAATTGGTTTTGAAAATAATTTAATTTCTGCGATGAATTTCACTTTTTATAAATATAATTGAATTTTTTCAAAGAATTTAAAATTTTTGAAAATAATTTAATTCTTATCAAGAATTTTATTAAAAATTGTTTTTCAAATAAATTCTTGCAAAAAGTTTTTAAAATTAATTACATTTTTCGAGGAATAAATTTAAAATTGTATTAAAAATAATTGAATTCCTATGAAATATTTTATTATTTATGATAATAAAATAATTGAATTCTTACTCAACGAATTTTATTACATTTTTTTAAATAATTGAATTTATGTGAAAAATTTTATTACTTGTAAAACTAATTGAATTCTTGTTAATAAAATTCTTCTTAAAAATTCAATTTTAAGAAACATTCAACTATTCAATAAATGATTTATTTTTCTATTTAAATAATTGAATTCTCGAAGAATTTTCTAATATAAAAATTTATTTCAAATGGTTTGAATTTAAAGTTTTTGCAAATCTTAATTCTTATGTAAAAATAATAATGAGTAAATATTTATTTAAAAATGAAGTTATTGATGTTTTCGAAAAATTTTACAATTCTTTAGGGTCAGGGAAAAAAAGTTGAAATTCTGTCTGAAAATCAGGGAAAAATCCAAGGAAAAAGAATGTTAAGTTTTTGTGACAACCCTGTAATAATATTTAAAAAAAAATAGAAATAATTAAATTTTTGAAGAATTTTAATTATGACCATGATTTTTCCGAAATTTTAATAAGTCCAAAAATGTAAATTTTTATTTGCCTTATTCCAAGATAATTAAATCTTAAAAAATTATGATAACAAAATTCTAAGAATTAAGTAGTTTTTAAAAAATATTTAAAGTACAGAAAATACTAAATTCTAAAAAATTAGAAGTTAATTTTCATTAATTTTCATTTTTAAATTTACCTCTAAAGATTTTTCATTAAAATTTTTGA